AGTCACATGTCCCCTCGAGTGAGCGAGTGTGCCCGCCCGCGAGAAAGGGGGAGAGACGAGAAAAACCCCTGCGCGCATGCAGCTGAAAGGGATTACAGCTTCCTCCCCTCCCCGTTTACCCCTTATGCCAAACCAGCCACTAGCCTCCTTCTTGGCATGATGTTTGAGCATGCCTCGGAAACGTCAGCAACAGGCAATGCTTTTTACCGTTGCTAAAACTCTTACCGGGCTAATTGGCAATATATGCAGAAGTGGTACAGGGCTGGCTATTGCTCTGCCTTACTTCAAATGGCAAATTAGAGGAGAATTGGCAAGACCAGAACTCCTCGTCTAAGGAGCGCGATGCACCTTAAAATACATGTTGTTCACTTTAACCCTGAGAATCTCTAGGGAAATTTAATTATCTTGATTCTTGGAAATAATCGTTACTACTTTCAAATGTATGAAAATAAAAACAGTACATATTAACAACTCTGTTTAATGGAATAGTTACAAACGTGTATGTGACACAATGCTTATCATTCCCTCTGTTTAGGTGGAACAATGAAATGCATTAATGTAAATCCCATCCATAGGAAAGCTTCGCACAGTCTTACTTAATAAAGTGCTCCCATTTTTTTAAAGGATGCTACAATATTAAATTCCCTCAGTCTTCTTTTTGATCCAGACAACACACACTGCCTGCCAAAGCCCAACAGCTCCAGCAGCTGAGATGCTGTCTCCTTTCTTGCAATAAGGACACCTGAATACTTTGGGGAAATGGAAGTGAAGCTACGAGAAGCGGCATGCAAAGTGTTTACTGCATTATTTTAAGTGTATTAAAAACACAGATGAGCCTTTTAAGATTTGGGGGGGGGGGGAATACACACACACACACACCATGCTGCACCTAAACTGCACTGAAAATTAAGTTATATATCAGCAGGCAGCTGATTTTCTAAATTAGGGTCAACCTGCACTTAGACATTTCACATTCTTTCCTCAGTGCCGTCTCTTTCCTAGAGTTCTTTTTTTCCTTTTTTTTCTTCTTCTTTTCTTTAAATTATAGTGCAGCTATATTGTTAAATATAATTGTTCCCAACAGTTGGGACTGATCATCTCATTTTAGACAACTCAGATCGGGCGGCCAGATTCTCACTGTGACCCCGAAGAGACAGGCCTTTCGGACAGGATACAGTGTCCTCTGACTGTGCCCACCTCTCTCCGCTGGCTGAAGGGCAGTCTACATAATAGCTAAGGCTAGAAGCCTATCTTGTAGGCTGCTAAAGTTACATACAAATAAATTTCACTTTTTTTTTTCCTAGCTGTCAGTTGACGAAAGAATAGTACCATGTATACAACTGGCAGTTAGATTGATTCCACTCATAATCAACAACAGGACACAGGAATCTGAAAAAGATTCAAAATCAGTGAGGGAATGACCAAGGCACAAGACCCAACCATTTCCGTATAGTAGGCCGAACCTGCTTTAGTTACTGGATACCGTTACTTGTGTAACCGACACTGACTACAGGTCAAAATGTTTTATCAAATTACTTTCATTTGAACAACTATCAATTAGCAGGAACTGCATGCACACATCCACAAAAGTCTATACATAAATAAGACTTTACATTCCCTACAACTACAGCTACATTAAATCTACCCACACCCACTCCTTGAGCAACTGACACCATGGAGCCAGACGATGAGGAAGGGGGTCTCTTCGGGTTTCTGCCCGCCACGTCGCCTCTTGCTCCCGTCAGACCCACCCTTGCGACTCAGATCCCCTGGGATCCCGCAGGGTAGTTCACGCAGAGCTCTAAGCAGTCAGTTGCCCTATTTAAAGTAGAGATTTAAACTTCATGCTACACCAGACCTTAGAAAAAACGCAATCAAAACGGAGCGCATGTTTAGCAAGGCTGTTAAAAACAACAACAACAAAAAAAATCTATTAGTCAACTGCTGTCCATGCTACAAGAAAGCACCCAACTGCTGTTAGTTGACACAGATAACTGCTTTCACGTAATGAGCAGACATCCTAGGAAGAGAACGTACTTAGCCTTCTCCACAAAAGAGAAGTGAACCTATTCACCAAGACTCCACCCATAGCATTATTTTTCAGATCCATATCCAGGCATGGAACTGCGAGAATGACGACAACGAGAACATATTAGACTGCGCTTAACGCCTGTGAATCAAAGGATTGGTAGTTCCTTAAGAAGGTTCACAAAGTTGTAGAAAACAAAACGTGACAATTAGCACATAGGCTTGCTTGTAGATTATTAGCATTAAAAAGCAGCACACCTTCTCCATACAACTCAAGTTTCAAAGAATCAACATATTCAATGTCTTTCAGCTTCTATAAAGCTGAAAGCTACTAAAGTTAAACAAATACCACACAATAGGAATATTACTACTAAAGTTAAACAAATACCACACAACCACAAAAATGGAAGCAGATTTATGCACTGTAAAACAATCCATCAT